GTAAATGTATTGAGAATTAGGTCGCTAATAAACCGAGATGTTGATGCGACCTAAAATAAACATACAATTGGTATTATCTATTTGGTTGACTGCAACTTAGCCCCGTAAGTATAGTACATGTTTTATCAAACGAGGTGGCAGTGATCTTTCCCAGCTGGATGGTGAGATTCGGAGCCGATTTACTCTTCGGTATGCGGGATTTTCCCTATCCAGGTGTCTCCCACCAGCGGGGCATCGTCCCGGCCCGGACAAGCACCAAGTCCCTACCGGTCTCCCGAAGGGGCGAAGTTAGGAAAAGGAAGAAGGAGAAGAAGAAGAAGAAGAAGAAGAAGAAGAAGAAGAAGAAGAAGAAGAAGAAGAAGAAGAAGAAAAGGCCGCGCGCAGTCCGTGGCCCGTTTGTTAGGGTACTACTCGTGCATTCACCTGGTACTGGTAAGAGAAACCACGGAAAACTACCGATCAAAACAACCAGCCGCTGGAGTTCTTCTCTGGACACCGGATGAACTCAATATCATTCCTTTTAAAATACCTGAAGAAACGTCGTACTATCATTATTACCATCAGTCAAAAAGCGGAGCCAATCCCGTTTTCTCTTTCTGAAGTGTTAGCCGATTGCTCTCGGGTGTGTGCATGGGCCCAGGCGGAGGGCGTGCGTCGCGCCAACCGCCGGGAAGCTGTACCTCGGCTACTCACGGGTCTCCATGGCCAGGTCGACGATGGTGTTGCGATGGCGCGTCGTCACCGCCGAGTAATCCAGGTCGAAGGACGAGTCGTGCAGCCCCTCGTCGTCAGCCTGCGCATGCACATACGTCCTCACATTGGATTTCAACGACCATCCTTCGGTCATTCGCCCATCAATGGGGATTAGCGAACGAATATTTTCATTCTAGCTTGCCGCTGATTATAAATATATTTAAGGTTTTTCGTGGCCTTTAGATGTACAACTCTTTTATAATTATGATTTTTTACGATACGCATTTGAATACCCGTTGTCCCCCGGGTATTTATCACAATCATCTAAAAGTTAGTCCCCACCGTCCCGCCCCACAAGCCCAATTTTTGCAGAGCCATTTTTAAGAAAATTTTGAAAAGGTCCCAGGGGCTTTATGTGAAGTATATCCAAAATTTAAAGACATTTTTTTTCAAAATCGCGTGGCAAGTACAAAGTGACTACGTAATATTAATTTGGGGAAAATTTCAACGAACAGTTTAAGCGCTAGTGCTGTTCACAGACAGGACAGACAGGAGGATCCGCAGTTTGAAGACAAAAACAACTCTTTCGTGCCAGGAGACTCGAAGTCGTGTATTTCCGTTGAAATCTCAAAATCGATTTACGACAATATTTCTCTATACTACGTGTTTTATTTCGTATATACATACGTATACGAGGAAATAAAACTGCATGTTGAATTTAATATATTTTGAATTCTAGCTCTACGTTTCCAAATATTTGTTGCGGTGCATACATTTACTTATTTATAAGTTGCTGATGTATAAATGTATAACTACTGTTTGTGTCTATAGTATTAACATTTCTTGAGATGTAATATGAAACATTTCTGTGCTCTTTAAAATGAGGATAATGCAATAGGTTTTGAAACGTTATTTAAATCATTTAAACTATACAAATGAAATGAACGCCATTTTACATAAAGATAGTTTGATTGTCCCTAATCACAACACAATTTAACCTTTCCAGCTTAACAAGTGCACTCCATCGTCTAGCGCATTGCCCACCTCCTCGAAGAATCGGTCCTTGACGAGCGTGGTCTCCTCCATGGACTCGAGGTAGAAGTCCTCGGACGAGGAGTAGGTGGAGGAGGAGGACGCGTCGTCCTCGCGCTTCGCCTCGCCCAGCTGCCCCTCGGCCGACCGCTGCGCCAGCGCGCTGCGCACAACCCGCTGCGCACAACCCGCGCTCGCCACGCCACGCCACGCGCCTTGCTTGCTCTCCTACAGCGATCGAGCTGGCCAAGTCAGCAGCAGCGAGCTCGACAAATGACGTGATGGGTGTTCCCGGGCACGTAAATTCCTGAGGTCTTAGTCCCGTTAGTGTAGTGAATATTTTACTCTGCAATGTTCCACCCTTGGTGATATCTATCGCCGACCTATACGACGTATTTCTGGGATTTCCACTTCCAGTTATATCACACCAGTGGGGCACCATCCCACCCAGGACAAACTCAAAGTTCCCGACCACTTGTGTGACAATATAGTGCATTTAGCAAGTGTAATCGTGTGTAAGAAAGGGGTGAGGATAGGACAACGAAGAGGAAGGAAAGATGGCGCGTGGTCCATGGCCCGTTGATAGGATACTACTTTGGTATTGGTCTGATATTAACGCTAGAATTCTCCTCCAGATAGCGCCTGAATTCGATCTATGTATCTAGAAAGAGTCTAAACTCCCCCACCACCAAAACTCGAATCCTAGGACCTCCCAGTCAGAGGTGTTAAAGAGCCAGCAGCAATGTTGGCAGCAGGCGGGCAAAAATGCTAGATCGGCTTGTACAACAGAAGCTTACGGCTAGTCGACGTCACTGTTGGAGAGATATAGTCAATGCGGAACAAGAATCTGTCAGATGAAGCTGGAGAGGATGGTGTAATCGATCCCTTGTGAATATGCTAAGGGTGGTGTTGGGAGTGGACAGCTGTTGCGTGTTGGTGTGACTAATGACATGTGCAGCAAGATCACAATCAAGCCGTCCTTCATCTTTCAGACGATACTAGTAGAAGCCGTTTCATGTGAACGTGCGGGGGGAGAATGGAAGGGGAAAATGAAAACTTACGACTCGTCAACATCCATGATGGAGACCTAAAGCCAATGTGACCCAAGCAATCTTTAATACACCAAGGGTGGTGGTGGGAGTGGAGAGTTCACCACTTATCGGCGTAACTAATGACTCAACCCGTGATGCAGGTAGCTGCCATCTCTCGTGAACGTGCGGGTGGAGGCTTACGGCTCGTCGACGTCGCTGATGGCGACGAGGCGCATGTGCTCGCGGCTGTCCTCCGTGCTGCTCTGCGGGAACGGGATGAAGTCGTCCTCGTCCCACTTGTGCAGCCCGTTGAAGGCGGCCAGCTCGAAGTTCTCGTTCAACACGTCCAGGTTGATGTCGCGGTTCAGGCACATCATGCCCACGGCAAACTGGTTCCTCTGTCAACCGGAACGCCGCTTGTCGGCATTTAAAACAGGCATTTAACACAAAAAAGGAACACACACATTAGTACGATGATGTATACCAGGTACACACGAGTGTCATACCACAATACTTAATACAATTGGCATATGAATCTTCCGCAATTGGTAAAACATTCCTTTAAAAGTGAAAATACCTTCATCTTGGAAAACAACTTAAAACGTTTGTGAATTGGATTTTCCTCCTCGCTACACCCAAATCTTGTGGATTACAATAGACTAATGATGCTAAAATAGTACGCAGTTTTTTCGTCCGTACTTTCACGCAAAATTATGCGAAAAGTACTCAAATTTTGGAAAAATTCTACGTGACCTTATTTTAAAATGTACTAAGGGAAAATATCTATCTTCATTATTGAATTTGTAGAAAGATGCCGAATAAATTTGAATTATTTATATTTTCAAAAAGTCGGAGTTTTCAACAATCAAGAGACCTGCACTATTCTTTGAAATGAATTTATCCACTTTTTCGTTTCCAGGACTCTGTGATAGTAGTTTATTCTGCCGAAAATTTACCGTGTTTTCGTGCAGCATTACATAACTTACTCCGCAGCGGGAAAGTAAAATATCTGCAATACATAACACTGTTTTAATTCAAGACGCTTCGTTTCCGAGTTATGCATGGCCGTCACGGGTGTTGCTGCGTGTTGCGGTTTACATGAGCGCCTGCTGTTTTCTTTTTACCACATTATCTGCAGCCTTCTAAACGTTTTGTCTTAAATCTGTTTGATGCACACCTGGTCTGTAATTTCTTAACCAGTTGTATCACAGATATTGGAGTTTAACTATATAAATAAAAGTTAATTAGCGACATTTAATTAGCATCAATAACACAAAACGTAAAGTATGAATAGATACGAAATTTTTACAGACTCTTCTTCAGGCTTGTCGCAGTGTCCTTACAATGTTCATCAAGGATTAATAGCAGCACCAAAACAGAAAATAAATAATTTAAACAGTATGTTGGTAGATACATCATGATCTCCCCATTTTGATAAGGTTTTCGTCCAGTTTCCCTGATCCTTGAGCTAATACTGAGATAGCCCCTTGTTTTACTTCTGGACATAAATGTAACTTCAAATTAACTT